GGAAAGAATTCTACTTTAAAAAATACAACATATTTTATGTTGTTAATTTTTGAAATTTAACCAGGCTTTACTATGCTGATTCTGTTAGTACAGTCAGACATGGAGTTACTTAACAGTGTCACTTTTTCCAAAAAATCCCTTTTGTGTGTGTGTGTGTTTGCAATAATAGCATTAACAAAAGATGGAAAAACTTCACTAGGTGTCTTAAAGATAAACTTTTTGGTGCTGATGTTACAGAAATTCGAACATATAGGAATGCACTCACATGTTAAAATTTTATGTTTGGTTACTGAAAGAACTACTACTGTGATATTTTGAAAGCACTAAGGCATAAAACTCCAAACACCCTGCAGTGCTATTTTATTGTGATGTGATTAGCACCTGTTTGCTTGCACTAATCCTACTTCAAACAGAAACGTGCTTTCTTCACAATCATTAGACCATACATTACAGGCTCTCTCAAACAGACTCATAGGATTTAAGACTGTTTTTTTTTCATTAAAGAAAAGCCTTTTTCTAGATCTGCTCTGCAAATCAGACCAAACCATTCCAAGGCAGCAGTCGCATTGTGATTTTACTAAATTATGTACAAAGGGAGTGATTAGATGAAAGCTTTTTCCAGCATGTCCAACCCACAGCCTGTGGGCTGCATGTGGCTCAGCCCAGCCTATCTTACAGCAGCCCCACCCCACACTTTCATGGTGGTGGTCCTTCCCTACTGAACAGCCCAGACTGGCCCCAGGTACACACTCAAAGCTCAGAAAGACACAATTATTGTGTGATCAGGACTGTCTGTGATGAAATCAGGACATGGGAAAGGGGAAGTGCAGTGCTAATTCAAGCTATGGCAAATAAATGTATGCTTTTAAATATATTGGCTAAAAGCAGTCCGGTGAACAGAAAAAAAGTATGTGTACTTGATATCTGGACTGACAAAGGAATTTGACAACAGATTTCAAGCTTCCTGAAAAAAATATATAATTTTTTGTTATATTCATGATTCCATTTTCAGTCAAGACAAACACATTACCTGCAAATTTTCAAAAGGAATGTATATAGTAGCGATCAGATACTCAGTCCAAAAATTTGATCACGTTTCTTTGTTAGAAGCTTTTGAGTTCTATCTTACCAGAGAAGGACTTCCCCTGCTTCACAATCACTCGCTGTTTATGTTATCATTTTCTGGAAGTATATACATATGTATTTTCAAGGATGAAGCAAAGGAAGAGTAAATTTCATCAAAAATCCCTGATGGGAATCTTGAGAATTCACTAAGAATTACTACCACTTCCACTGAACCAGACTGATGAGCTGATTTCACAAAAACATGGTCAAATATCCCACTATGTTTTTGTTTCTCTCTTATTTTCTTGATGTTTTCACAAAAATTAATTTTGTTATTTATGTACACAAACTTTATAGATGTATATTATATATGATCAAAGATAATTCAGTGCAGCCCAGTTAGGCCAAATGTTGGGACACTCGTTATAAATAGAACAGACTGTAATTGAAATAGTACCTACCTGTACGAAGTATTTTCACCCAAGAAACAAGAGCTCACTGGAGAGATGTACACAAGCCTTTCTGTTGTAAGAATGTCTTTAATAAATTAATGATGAATTATCAACTACATTCAAAAACTTTGGGCTGTCTATGCTCAATGAAATAGGAATTTTTAAAGCATGGAGACATAAATTTGAATCAGTGAATCAGTTTTCATAAGTTTTTCTGCTCATAAACTGTTGCTAGTAGATATAGCATGGGTGAGTTCTATGAAATGCCTAGAATCAAGTCTTAAAATGTTGTACATAAGGCAAAGAACTTGGACAAATTTACTACCAGCTTATGCATTTTGTAGTGTATACATACACGGATTAATAGGAAATAGGAAAAAAATTCCTCGACAGACATAAAATCATAAACCAATTACCAATTTAACTGAAATTTCCATGAATAACCAGTAAGAGAGAAAAAAATGGTTTATTAATGTCACTAAATGATATATTTCATTTAATCTTTCCAACTGTCTTGCTGTATGCCTTTTAAAAACTTAGTTTGAATATTTTTGCACAGAGGAAATTGAGGCAATTATGCCAAACTATCCAAATATGTGATCCGAAATTGCCAGTATGAATTCACCATGCGTATATTGCGTCTGATCAATCTGGTGGCCTTTTTTAATGGAATAATAATATCAATAGATGAAGAGCAACTGATATAATCAATCTAGACTTCTCGAAGGCCTTTAATATAGTCCCACATCACATCCTTTTTTCTGAGTTGGGGAGATATGGATCCAAAGGGTGGACTATTTAGTGAGTAGGAAATTGGTTTGAAGTATGGTAAACACATATCCAGGGGTAGGCCCATGATGGTTGGTGTTCCCCACGGTTCCATCTTGGGGCTGATGCTCTTTAACATGTTTATCAGTGACATAATTTGAAGAGATTGAGTGCACCCTCAGCAACTTAACAGATGATGGCAAGCTAAGTGGTTCAATTGATGAAATAGAAGGAAGAGATGTGATCAAAGAGATCTGGATCTCGAAAGGTGGGTGTATAATCAATGAATATTAGGATGTTATAATCACAAAATAAACAAGAGAGTTAGGCAAAGTAGACTATGATAACAAAAGAGAACAAATAGAAGGCTTACCCCTATCCTGGGTTCACCCACAAAACACAAGCAGAAGTGATCTCCAGAGGAGATCCTTCCTCACTGGTAGCTAGCTCTTAATAGGTCTAGGAGGGGTGGAGCCTGGCTCCATCCCTTCTGGCAGCACAGGTGAATTGCCTTCACCTGTGCTCCTCTGGCTGACTCATTGCTTGCCTCAGGTGATCAATCAGAGGTTCTGGCCATGATTTAGCAGTTCCCATACAGTGGGCTCGTGTGAGCCTAATAAGAAAATGAGGGAAAGGTTGTTGATGTAGTCTACCTAGAATCAGCAAAGCCTTTGACACTGTCTCCCACAGTATTCTCCTGGAGAAGCTGGCAGTCTGTGGCTTGGACAGGTACACTCTTTTATGGGTAAAGAACAGAGTGGAGGGCCAGACCCAGAAAGTGGTGGTGTATGGAATTAAATACAACCAGTGACTGGTCATGAGTGGTGATCCCCAGGAGTCAGTACTGGAGCCACTCCTATTCAATATTTTTAGTGATAACCTGGTAAAGTTGGTTGAGTACACCATTAGCAAGTCTGCAAATGACACCACAGTGGCAGGAAGTATTGATCTGCCTGGGGGTAGGGAGACCATACAGAGGGATTCAGACAGGCTAGATTGCTGGGCTGAGGTCAGTGGGATGAAGTTCAACAGACCAAGTGCCAGGTTCTGTAATTTGGCCACAACATCCCCAGGTAACGCCATAGGCCGGCGGCAGAGTAGTTGCAAGACTGCATGGAAGAAAGGACCTGAGGGTGTTGGTTGATATTCAGTGGTACATGAGCCAGCAGCACACTCAGCGAACAAGAGGGCCAGTGGCATTCTGGCTTGTACCAGAAACAGTGTTGTCCCTCTGTACTCAGTGCTGGTAAAGCTGCAAATTGAGTACTATGTTGTTTAGGGCCCCTCGCTACAAGAAAGACATCAAGGCCCTGAAGTATGTCTAGAGAAGGCAATGAAGCTGGTGAGGGGTCTGGACCAAGTCTTATTAGGAGCGGCTGAGGGAACTCGAATTGTTCAGTCTGGAAAAGAAGAGGCTCAGGGGAGCTCTCTAGAGCTGCTTGAAAGGAGGTTGAGGCAAAGTGGGGGTCAGCCTCTTCTCTTGTGTAGCTAGTGATAGGATTAAAGGGAATAAACTCAAAGTTGCAACAGCCTTTATTCAGGTTGGATACTAGGAAAAAAATTGTTCTCCAAAAGAGTGGTTATGTGCTGGAACAGTGTGCCTGGGAAGGTGCTGGAGTCACTTTCCCCGGAGGTGTTCATGAAACATTTAGATGCTGTTCTAAGGCACATGGTTTAGAAAATTTAGAAAAAGGGGAAATATTTGTGGGAGCTGGATGGTTGGACTGAATGATCTTGGAGGTCTTTTCCAACCTTTGTGATTCTATGATTCTATGATCTTTAAGATTCCTTCCAACATAAACTATTCTACGATTCTATGGAAAAATGAAGTCTACAAAAATCAGTAATCTTACAAATTCACTTTGAATGTGACAGCACAATAAATTGTTAATTACTACAACATAGTCCTAATCTGAGTGGGTTATGACAGGTTATTTCTATCAGCATTTGTAAGGGTATGCTGCTAACCTTAGTATGATCTTACATATTTCTAGCAGGTTTGTTCTTGTCAAATATTTCCAAAGATTCCCCTTCTCCTTGTCTTCAGTTTCCTTGCTAGAAACCTTTAAGAGAAGTTGATGTTGTTCTCTATAAAGTTTATTAATTCATCTCTTGTAGTGTCCCAAATATTTTGCTAGTTGCAAGCGTCATAGAGCAATCATCTCCCAGGAACCGTTCTCCATACATGGCTTTTGCCATTGCCATTGCCACTGCATATCCTCACAGTTCTCAAGAAGTTAACCTTGAAAATAGATCAAAGTTTCTACCTATTTTTGATAAAAGTTACAGTTTAACATTCTTAATTTTTATGTTATTTACTTTCCTACACAATGCAAATCATAATTTCAAAAGCTGTTTTATTTTTCAGAACATGTTTTCTTCAATATGCAGCCTCTTAAACCAGCAGGACCCTCTTTCCTTTCCTGCTGTCGTCTGAAAAATAGATACTTCTGTATCTACAGAGATATAGACTAAAGTCACCTGTTCACCCTGCAGAACTTCAGATATTCTAAAATTAATTTCCCCTGTACAAACCAAAGGAAATATTTTCCGCCCATCTAACTTGGCAGTGCCATATTCTGTTCTATTATTTTCAGTGTAACTACTCAGTGTAACTGAGTTTTTGACAAACTCAGAAGTCTTTACAAGAGAAGGTTTTCATCTGCAATAAACCAGAAAGCAATAATCTTGACATAAAAGACATTCTGAGCTTACCTGCAATGCACTACCATCGGACCAGCATCAGGTGGGTTACAGGTCTTGACACGTCTCAGGAAAGCTAAGAATGGTGTTGGGTGTTCTGGAACACCGTGGTCAGGCCAGGCAGTGAACTGGAATTGCCTTACTTCCCTTTTCTCACTTGAACCATTCTAAGAAATGAAAAAAACAAAAAACAAAAAACTTTATGACAAAATTGCCATTAAGTGCCAGTAAGTGAAACACTCGAGAGGAATACATACCAGAGAAGGCATTTTGAATCATATTTGGTACCAGAGAGAAACTGAACTCAGGCTATGTGGAGGAAAAAAATTTTCTTATATTCAAAATTGCATCACTGAAACAATGTAAGAGCTTTAATCATAATCTGCAGCAATTAATCACAAGAAGATTTAGTACTTCGGTTAATATTTCACTCAGTGAAGTTATGAATAAAGAGATTTCTGTATTAATCTACAAAATACCATGCTGGAATATGAGTATATGCTGACAGTAGGTTTCATTTTTCAGTTTTGCTAAGGGGTAAAGAGAGAGAAGGAGGGGATGAGAATAATGAGAAGGAGGAAAAGAGGAGGGAAGGCAGGAAGAAAAAGAAAGGAGGAAGGAAGGGAGTATGTGGAGGGAAGATAGAGAGAAATAAGGAAAAAGAGAGAAGGAAAAGAAGAGAGTAGAAGGGAAAGGAAGAGAAAAGAAAGCAAAGAGGGAGAAGGAATAAAAGAAATTATATACCTTGTAAAGTGCAAATGTACGAACACAGTATGTTGCCAATTCAACCGTGTCTAAAAGGGTCACTTGGATGAGTCCATAAGTTTCTGTGCCTCTGCTTGGCCAGTACTGATCACACTTCACCTGTAGTGAAAAACATACAATTCCTTAATACTGTAAAACTGCTGTTTGTTGCATGCCAGAGTGTTTAGTCATTGTAGGTTTCAAAATGTAAGGAGTTACAATGTTTAAAAACAGCTATGGATTCAATACAAGATATTTCATTTTCCACAAGAACTGCTTTTCTGTGAGTGAGGCTTCTAATATCTTCTTCTACAATGGGTATTTATATATTCAGAGGTGTGGTGTGGATGGTCAAAAGTACCAATATGTGTAGATACACTAAAGAAAAATTAATAGTTGTTTTGTGATAAATAATTTTATAATAAATTTATAAATCTATAAATTTATAATAGATAATTGTAATTTTTATATTACAGTTATATATAATTATATAAAAATTATAATAGACAATTTATAATAGATAAAACATAACCTGATTAACTCCTCTTTAACATACTATAATTTAATAACATTAATTTAGTGAGTGTAGATACACAAATTTTTGAATACTTGTCACATTTAATCTATTTTATGTCAGTCTGAAAACATATAAAGTGTTTCTCTGATGCTAGTATGTTTGTTGCTTCAAACAGAATGTCTCTGTTTACATGGAAAATACAACAGATTCAAAGAGTACAATAACACTCTTTGATAGAGCAAAATGTCATCTGTAAAACACTACTCTTCCACACATTCCTATTAGCTATGCGTTTTAGCCACTGATGAACAAAAGCCTGCATACTGTGATTGTAAAAATATGCACAAGACAAGATGGCACTCTGCTGCTCTTGCCACTGCCGAAATTCAGCACTCACTACCTCACTGCACTCACACCCACTGTTTGGTTAACATTCAGCAAGTGTTGATGAATGTCATTAGATGCAGTTTTTTCTTTCACTTGGAGGAATTCAGTGACACACCTTTGCTTCATGTGCACAACCATGTCAGACACCATTTTGTCAGAATGCCCCTTTGCTGCCATCTGTCACATGGCAACACAATAATGTAAGATGAGAAGGCTCAACCTTTATTGCCATACCACCACTATCTGCCTCTGGCACTCTGGGCCAACATAACAAAACAGAAGATATTATTTTTGGAGCAGCCCTTGTATGAAACACATAGCATGTTCAGAAATATCTCGGTATAATACTGAATTTATCTGAGAAATAATTTTAGTACACAGATAAATAAAAAAATATCTGCAACTATTAAGTGCATTGTGAAAATACAATTTCCTTCTTAATTCAGTGTTATGATGCATAAAGCAAAATCATGTTTGTAGGAACTTAAAAGATATGATTTGATAATTTATATGGATGATATGGTTTCATTCAACACATTTTAAAAGACATAGGACATTTCATTCAGAGAAATCTCCATTTTAAAACACTATAGATTATATTAACAAGCTGAAATAATTCCGACTAAGATAATGCAGAAGAGAGCATACGCTTACAATCTTTTTTGAAACTGAATATGATGTTTAGTATTTATAATGAAAGCTATTAAGAAAAAAATCAATACAAGATGTCTAATACATTCAAAGAAGATGATACAAAATAGTACAGAGACTATACAAAAATAGTTGTGTTTCACTGACAGATATATTATACAAAAATGTCAGTTCTGTCTGTAACAAAATTGCTGAAAGAGCAATTACTAAATATATAATGAATATCAGTGATAAACTTTGCAGGACTCCTGGTAGTAAAAAAAGCAACTGCAGCATACTCATTTCACTTTACCTTAATATAGATACTGTAACTTAGTTGTATTTTGTCTAGAACAGTTGTGCTTTATTTTATCTCCTATAAGAAGACATTGTATATATATATATATTTTTAGCAGCTAACACTCTTACCAGAACTAACTAGAAGAAACTTTGAAAGTTGTGTGTTCTCCAAAAACAACACTTGCTAATGTGTTTCCATTTGAGATAGTCCTGGGGAGGTATTAAGAACAGAACTAGGAGTGTGATAATCTAATGTTAAACATTTATCCAGAAATTTGTAGAAAATTTATCCTTTTCAGTTAAGATGGGAGAAAACTTATATGCCTGCTCTTTTATAATCAGCCTTTGCTTTTCTTCATTTATTAGCTTTTCAAACATACACTCCATCAATTTTCCAATTTTTCTGGGATACTCTGTGATATCTAGCTGATACAGAGCACTAATCCTGGAAGACGGCTTACACAAAATTAAATATTGTTTAAAATAAACACAATCTATAGATCACTGTATGCATTATTTGAATATGGAAATTATGAAAGTAAGTATCAATTTTTTTAGAAAGAAAAACTGATTTTTGATTGATACAATTTTGATTTTCTGGAATAGAACATGAGGTTTTTTGTTTTTTTTTTTTTTTTTTTTTTTTTTTGATGAAATTATATTCTTTATTCTTATTGTCTCTTGATTTTTTCCTGGGACAAGAGGTCTTCAAACATGTGTTCTTATCTGTCCCTAGATTTTTGCTAGTGATCACAACACTTACTATATCAACATTCCTAACAATATATCTTCGTGAAAGATGAGAACAATGTTTTGTACCAGCATTCCCAGGAGAAAAGAACCAAATAATTGAGACAATCAAATGTTAAGACACTATTATCTAAAGCAGAGTTCCTGCTAAATGTTTTATCCAGATTTTTCAAAAACATAAGATTACAATCCTGGACTGCAGCTCTTAAAGTAAATTTATTTTCAGATTATACATTAATATTTTTTTTCAGAAAAAGAATTCTCAAAACATCACCCATAATGTAGTACGAAATGTTTACAAATCTGTTTTTAAAAGGTGATTGCTAGATGTATTTTACTTCAGCTCTATGGACTGCACTTAAATGTCTTCTGTTAAGGGGAATGTCTTCCTCACTTGTATACGTGGTTTGGAAACCTGACAATTTGAATGTGGTAAGCACAGTGACATTTAATGTAGGCATTCTCCTAAAGAAATGCAGACTAGGGAATTAATTTATTTTCAAACCAATTTTGCAACAAGATTTTGGTGAACTTCGTAGTCTTCATCCTCTACTTATTCACTCAGTTCCCACTTTCAAAGGCTGAGCTATTCCTCTGCAGACTACATACACCTGTACACAGTGAGACATTTTTTGGCATCTTGACTCTACAAGAAAATAGCTTTCCCCAGTAATTTCCTAATGTTCTCTTGCCTGTCACTGTAGATGGCAAGAGTCATATAAGAATGAAAGAACTCACTGGAAATTTTGAAGAAAAATTAAATTACAAATAATGACAAGAATACCACTTATTACTACCTTTCCTATCTGATCCTGCCTAATTGCCATATATAAGTTCTCATGACTTTAGCTGTCAAAAGACATGTAAATATATTATAAAATCTTGTAAATACCATAATAGTAAACACAATTAGAAGACATAACTAATGATAACAACATTCTTGCATCCTGCTTCTCAAACATACACATCTTTTCTTTCTTGACAACTCTTACATGCAGATCACCTTTACTTTAAACTGTGGAGGTTTGAGCATTCTCTGAAAGCAAAAGTGAATGCAAAGTTAAATGCTTTCTTTTCTGTGAAGAATGAGAATGTTGAGACCATTTCAAACTTGAGGGGCTTAACTAGCGACCAGAGTCTTAAGAATGTTTGTGGATATTCACACTTTGACAAATTACAGACAACAGATGGTTGCATAAACAGAGCTGAAGAAAAGTTATTTTCATTTGAACATATAAATACAAATAATTCTGACAGCCAAGGGCAGAGAAATAGTATTCCAGTGCAAAGTTCCATTAGTTTGACTGAGAAGTCCCTTCAGGTGAATCTTAACAATGAACTAATTGTTACAGACTATCTGAGATTATAAGGTCAAAATGCAGTTCATGGAAGAGAGCGTAAACTAATAATAGGCAGATTCATACAGTGTATTCCTTGTTGTATGAATAGCATATGAATTATGTTAAATCTGAAATAACAGTAGCATGTGACAAACTTCTTCCTTTGGTTTTCATAATAATAATAGCCCTCTACAGACAAAAATCTCAGAGTTCATTTTCAAAGTCTTTCTTCAAAAAGAAAATACCTCTATTTGCTGAAAGAAAATGTCTCTTTAAAGGTCCTTTCCAACCCAAACTATTCTATGATTCTATAATGCTGAATCATAATGGTCCAATAGAAAAGTAGTGCTGATAGTTGCTGACGAAAACTGCCTTAAATGCTAAAAGGCTAGATGGGTTCCTCAGATATTTCAGCTAATGCTCTGTCTGCAAGCAGTTGCTATTTAAAGTAATTGTGCTTTTTGCAACAATGCCATGACACATAAATATCAGGATGATCTGAGTCTAAATATCACAGACAATAACACTAGTGTGACAGACTGTAATGCAAGGATTCTACAAGAAAAAATGAAACAAAACACCCACACTTTGAAGGCCATTTTAGAATAAGATTTGGCAATGTGTCATCCATTCACTTTCATGCAACAGTAAATGGCAGATTAAAATTTTGAAGTCCTGTGAGAAATATGGTTTCATACGGTTTTCATACATTTTTCAACAGTCTATGTTTAGATTTTGGTTTGAAGAAATACCAGATTTAATAGAGTTCTAATTTTTGAAGGAATTGAACACCTTTTCCCTGGAAGACAGAACTTCTAAGCCTCACCAAGTGTGTTCCCAAAACAATTGATTGTTTCTAAACATTTTTTTCTAAAAATATTTTTTTTTTCCACTGCAGAACAGAGAACAATTGTATGCAGTGATCTCTAATATGGATTTATAGTGCATACGTACTTGTAAGATAGTATAGACAAATGAATACTAGGTTAGTCATTAGCACTGAAAGATTATTGATAATTAAAAGCATGACTCCTATTATAATCCTTATGACTGAGTGTGGTACAGGCATTAAAATAAAAAGAAACTGACTTTAAATTGAGAGTTGGGAATATTTGAAATATGCTCTCTAACTTGTCTTTCATCTTCATCTATACAAGCCAGTAAAAATTCAGAATTATATTTGAAATTCATCAATC